AGATACCACTTACTACCAAACCCACCAGAATGGCTACAATCAAAAAGACTAATACCACCAAATGCTGACGGGGATGAACAATTGGAATTCTCATACACTGCTGGTGGGAGTATAAAATGGTACAATCACTTTGGAAAAATCTCCTTCATTTCCATACTAAACATATACCTAACCTATGACCCAGTAATTCCAAGAGGAATGAAAACAAATGCTCATAAGACTTGTACAAAAATGTTCGTAGCAGCTTCATGCGTATCTAAAAACTAGAAATGGCTCAGGTATCCATCAACAGGAGAATGGCATTTTTGTACAATGAAATGCTGCTCAGCAATAAAAAGAACTATTGACACATACAACATGGATGAATCCCAAATACCTTATGTTAAAGAATCCTTACACAAAGGAGCACATACTCTGATTCATTTATATACAGTTTAAAAAACAAACTATGATAGGAGAAAAATCAGAAGAAAAAGCGGTTGCCTAGGGGATGGGGATCGGGGAAGCAGGGATTGACTGGGAAAAGCATGAGAGAATTTTCTGGAATGATGAAAATGTTATCTTGATAAAGGCTTGGGTTTCACAGATGTGTGATTTGTCAAAATTCATTGCATCAAACACTTAAGATTTGTGCATTTCATCACATGTAAACTTTACCTCAAAAAGAAAAGAACCTTTAAAAAAGAACCTTTAACAAATACTGAACTCTAGTTAACAATATCCATGCTGAGATGTTTAGGGGTGAGGTGTATTTAAGTCTGCAATTTTCTTTGTAATCATCAAAAAATAGGATTTATAGATGGTTATGTGAAAAGGTTAAGTGTAGTAAAATGTTAATTATATGATCTAGGCAGTGGATATACAGATGTACATTGCACACTTCTTTCAACTTCCATGTTTAAAATTTTTCATAATAAAATGTTGGAAAAAAATAAGCAGTGAGTAAAAGAACAGAACTAGGTTAACAAAAGCCAAATCTATACCGTGCTTCAAAACAAGTAGGAGGAAGAAAACTTGAGTAGCTGAAGCTCTTTTAGCAGAGCTAAAAGAATGAAAGAAAATTAAAACAAAGTTCAACTGCTGATGCAAGCAAAGCAACTGAATATAAAGTAGTTTGTTTTTCTGTGGGACTATATATGTGGTAGAACTTTTATTTCTTTTATTGTGGTAAGAACATTTACCATGAGATTACCCTCTTAAGAGATTTTTAAGCGTAAAATACAGTATTGTTACCTACAGGCACAAAGTTGTAGAACAGATCTCTGGAACTTATCTTGCATAACTGAAATTTATCAAGATAAAAATTGTTACTCTGATCTGGTTAATACACCAGCAAGGAAATAAAAGGTTTTTTAAGTCAAGAACTTTAATACCCTAGTATTAGGGTAGAATTTTTTTCTATAATTCTGCAAATGATTTGAAAAAGCTGTACTATATAGTTTAGAAAAATCCATAAGATCTGCAAGAAAAGGTTTGTTAGTTGATTAGGTGAAGGGACTGATCACCTATATAACACCAATACATCAATAACTATTATTAATATTTGGCTAAAATAGATCTTAACATTTTATTCATTGGCCTGAATTCCTAAGAATTGATTCAGTTTAATCTCAATATTGTAGAATTACTCTCCACCCCTCCTCTCATAAAAGGTTTAGCCAGTGGCAGGAGCCACCTACCAGACAAAAAAAAAAAGCTCTTCAACACTAAAGGATTCCTGGTTTCCAAGCTCCCCTCTGGCAGCCATAAGGAGAAAAGTGAACTCAGAAGTGGTGGTGGTGATTATTAGAAAACAATGAAGCAGTAAACCTGAAGTGGTTCACTCACCTCAATTAGTTTCAACTATAAATAAATGTCATGGTTTAATATAATTTAGTTTTACATGTAGCTAGTGAATATTCTTGAGAATTACAGGACTTTAAGAATCAGTTGCCTATACTACAGGCTTCCCCCAACCCCCAGATATTTTAACAAGGGTACCTATGAACCTTATGTGACAGTATCTCTAAGATCTTGTTTCTTTTCAGGATTCAAGGCAAAATGTTTAAAAACCTGAACTTTTACTAACTTTATAAACATTACCTCTCCAGATGGCCAGTTACCAAGGTAGTTTTTCTTCAACTATTATGAAAGATTTCAAACACAAAAGTAGAGGGAATAGCACAATGAACTCAATCTTCAACAGTTATTATTCAACAGTTACAAACATGCAGCTTATCTTCATCTATAAACCCCACCCCCCAGATTATTTTGAGATGATACCCAGATTTATCATTCTAAAGCAGTTTTAGTCACTCAGTAGGTAGTTACCTAAACTCAGGTCCATCCTTTCCTGAAGCTCCATCTTTCCATATACAGGCACCCCACACATCCCTGAAACTGCCTTTGATGACTGAGGCAGGAGAGAAGACAAGTGTTCTAAATCAAGTTGCTCCAACTGAAATTTAACATTCTAGCTAAGATGGGGGAAACAAGAGGTTGCCTTTTGCTGTATTAGTTCTCCTAAATTCTTTTTATTATAAATGGAAATATAAATGGCCTCAAAGAGATTTCATGTAAAATGGACAAAATTTGACCCAGATTTAGAAAAATCTAGATTAAGTTCATGCCCTACCCTTCTCCAATGGACTATTTCATTATTCATGAAGATTTATGTCTGAATTAAGTTCTGAATGTATGGTGTTCACATAAAAAAAATCATGATTTGTTTATACTTTTACTTCCAAAGCTAATTAAAAGGTTATGCCTTGATTATAGGCTCTAAGGAAATGAAAGATGTTTTAAATTCACAAGTCTTGAATTTCAACAGTAAAACAGATTCCATATTTTCATCTGCTCTTAATCAAGGCAGAAAACCACAATTAGTTTTGAGAATAAATATACACAGCATAAAAATGAATTCTAATTGTTTTTCCTCACTATGGAAATGATCCAGCTTTCTACCTTTGGTGTAAACCAGATTTATCTCAGGAAGGCGGTGAAAGTAAAGGGTTCAGAACAAACCACAGTGCCTTTATATCCTCCTTCCCCCAACAATTCTCAATGGTTGAAAGTTGGGTATAACAACAGAAAAAAAGACAAGGATGTCTTTTGTAATATCAAAAGCAACTACAGAGGTTATATGTAAAAAGTCTACCACTATGCTTATACTATAGGTTGATTAAACATGTTAAGTCTTAGGTTTTTTGTTTTTAACCCAGAAGCTGCCTTCAAAAACCACTGCAGGGCTTCCCTTGTGGCACAGTGGTTGAGAGTCCGCCTGCCGATGCAGGGGACACGGGTTTGTGCCCCGGTCCGCGAAGATCCCACATGCCGCGGAGCGGCTGGGCCCCATGAGCCATGGCCGCTGAGCCTGCGCATCCGGAGCCTGTGCTCCGCAGCGGGAGAGGCCACAACAGTGAGAGGCCCGCGTACCGCAAAAAAAAAAAACAAAAAAAAAAACCCGCTGCAGACTTCTGCTGCAGTACAGGTTACCTTCACCCTCCCAACTCACAAAACAATAGGAGGGTCAGGGCTCACTCCTTGATTATTTCTTAGAGAAGTCTGACTGTAAAGCATAAACAAGTGGACTATACTTGTATGATTTAAACAGACCATTCATACCATTGATTTCAACACTGGTAACAACAATTAGGTTGATCCTGGGTTTTTAAGTTAATAATAAGCATCTCATTAAACTGCATTAAATTAGTAATGGAAATCAAGGCAAGGCAGCAACCTACAAGTTTAAAAAATAAACAAATCAACTGGAAGCCTAAGGCAAATGTACTTATCTCAAAACCACACAATTTCCAGATCCACATTCTCAAGATAGACTACAACCTTCTAAAACACTGCTTAGAAGCTAATTAGTGAACCACTGACAGTTGAAGATACAGGACAATCACTTGCTGTGAGTTATGTACATTTCAGAAATGCTGGCATATTTGAAAAATGTTGGAGAGGGGTTGTTCCATGTTTCAAACTTGACTAAAATAAACCTTTAAACATAAAACAATCTGTAGGCTGCACAAATTGAGAACCCAGGAGGTTAGCAGAGAAAAAGCTGAAACATTAATACAGAGGTTGTTAGAAAGATCAGTGCACTATTGCCCATCTTTCTTTATTAAAGTTGTCAGATGCCAACTTGTAGAGCAAGGACTTGTAAAGATCCAGGATGCAAAACCAAAACACTACCAGTTCCATGTCTATTACGAAGCAGAAGCCTTAACTAGTACACTGACTGATTTGAAGCTCATTGTTATCAATCATCTTGAGAACAGTATACTGAAGACAGGATATCTTCTTTGCAATGGATTCCACTCTAGTTCTTTAACCTGTTCAAGCACCTTGAGCCCTGAGTCTCAATTGGTTCTTTTTGCCTGGGGTATAGCTGAAAGGTGGGAACGAACAGAATGATTCACAAGCATAAATAACTTTTAAAGGAGGCAATATAAGTAGGTTTTGTGGCAACCAAAGAACACTTTTAAAATAGCTGTTTGTAGGTGAGACAGAGCAAAGCATTCATGATGAATGCTCCTCTCCTCAGAGGAGAACTGAATGAATAGAGAAAATCTTGTAGTCTTTGAGTAGATGAAAGAGAGAGAAGGGAGAAGGCAGAAGGGCTTATAAAATGTGTCTCACAGAAAGCTGAAGACAAGGCAGGCCTGAAGAGATACAAGATAAATCTAAACAATAATTTAAAGATTCAACAACCATTAGAAATATAGGACAATGAGAAAGTAAGTCTAGATTAAAGTTCCCTAAGAGAATTAACCGATTTTTTTTAAAAAAACAGAAACACAACTTAAAGGGACATTCTCAAGGGGAAAGAACTGGATATGGTAGTATGCATTGCAATGTCTTGAGATTAAATAACATTTCAACTGACCCTGCCAATCCATGCTATAAATTCACATTTTCTGGCAACCAAAATACTAGGGGGAAAACATATGGGAACAATCAAATGTCTGGTACTCTTTGCTGCCATGAAAAAGCAAAAGAAAATCTCACTCATTTCAGCAATTTTAAATGCTAATTTTTATTTACTGCTAAATGTGCAAAGGACATCAATACTGTGCAGGAAAATGGTTACATAAGTCCAATATTAAACAACAGAACATGGGATAAATCTAAAGCAGAGCATCATGTGCCTTCAGAACTGATTAATATCAAAGAACACAACTCAGATCAGACAATTCTTAAGAAACCTGAAGAGCACTCTCACTTAATATTAAGCTAGTTACCCAGAAGCAAATGCTCTTGGTTTTGTTGTTTCATTTTCTAGGAAAAAGTAGTTTTTCCAATTTTGCATGGTTTAATATTATGTGTGACATCGGAACCAAGGCAATAGTTCGTAAGATTTACTCCATTTATCAATTGGTACCATCAGCTAATACAAAGTTGACAAGTTGGCTGACAGGAAAACAGCTGAATACAATGAAATATGCTCAAATATGGGGCTAGTTGTACATTCATCTCAATGCCCTTATTCACAACCCAAAGAAATATTCCTTTATTTTAAAGTACTGTTTTAAATCAAAAGATAAAATAATCTTAAAGACAGATACAACAGTAACCACTCTAACCACTCTAAATCACTTAAACACTAACATAAAACACTTTTTAAAAACCAAACAACAAGAAAAATGGCAGTGCAAGAACACGTCATACTGCTGAATCTTACATATTCTGAGGTACACAATGAGAAGGTGAGGGAGGTGAAGCAATATAGGCAAGTGGCCCAGGACTCATAGCACCACGAATTTGAGAACCAACATATGCTGCACTGACTGGATGCCAGGGGGCAACACAGGGATAATCTGGCACAACAGGAAGGCAGGAATCAAAACCTGGCAAAGGTCGCTGCCCACAGGGATCTGACATCACTGGATAATAGAATGCTCCATGAGGGACAGATGCAGGGTCAGCATTTGGAAAAGTACCTGAAACAAAGAAAGCATACAGTACACTTCATATACAAAGATTCATTAACATCAACATAAATGGATGTTCTTACAGGTAAAAATGAAATTTAGCATTAACTCCAAGAAAGATCATAGCAATTGCAGCAGGAGTACTTTAGATATGAACATTAGTGACTAAAACAGGCTACTAAAAGATAATATGAAAATTTTCTAACTAAAAAAATTAAATATAGGAAGATGGCGGAAGAGTAGGACGCAGAGATCACACTCCTCCCCACAAATACATCAGAAATACATCTACACCAGTGGGAGGGAGATGTGAAGGAACAAAGGTTTCCACACACTAGGAAGCCCCTTCGCGGGTGGAGACTGTGGGTGGCGGAGGGGGAAGTTTCGGAACCGCGGAGGAGAGCGCAGCAACAGGAGTGCGGAGGGTAAAGCAGAGAGATTTCCGCACAGAGGATCGGTGCCGACCAGCACTCACAAGCCCGAGAGGCTTGTCTGCTCACCCGCCGGGGTGGGCAGGGCTGGGAGCTGAGGCTTGGGCTTCGGTCGGAGCACTGGGAGAGGACTGGGGTTGGCGAGGTGAACACAGCCTGCAGGGGGTTAGTGCGCCACGGATGGCCAGGAGGGAGTCCAGGGAAAAGTCTGGACCTGCCGAAGAGGCAAGAGACATTTTCTTCCCTGTTTGTTTCCTGGTGCGTGAGGAGAGGGGATTAAGAGCGCTGCTTAAAGGAGCCCCAGAGACGGGCGCGAGCCGAGGCTATCAGCGCGGACCGCAGAGACGGGCAAGAGACGCTAAGGCCGCTGCTATAGACAGCAAGCCTGTGTGCGAGCACAGGTCACGATACACACCTGCCCTCCCGGGAGCCTGTGCAGCCCGCCACTGCCAGGGTCCCATGATCCAGGGACAACTTCTCTGTGAGAATGCACGGCGCACCTCAGGCTGGTGCAACGTCATGCCGGCCTCTGCCGACGAAGGCTCACCCCGCACTCCTTGCCCCTCCCACCCCCACGGCCGGAGCAAGCCAGAGCCCCCAAATCAGCGGCTCCTTTAACCCCGTCCTGTCTGAGCGAAGAACAGACGCCCTCCAGCGACCTACACGCAGAGGCGGGGCCAAATCCAAAGCTAAGCCCCGGGAGCTGTGCGAACAAAGAAGAGAAAGGGAAATCTCTCCCAGCAGCCTCAGGAGCAGCGGATTAAATCTCCACAATCAATTTGATGTACCCTGCATCTGCGGAACACCTGAATAGACAACGAAGCATCCCATATTGAGGAGGTGGACGTTGAGAGCAACATATATTATTTTTCCCCTTTTCCACTTTTTGTGAGTATGTGTATGCTTCTGTGTGAGATTTTGTCTGTAGAGCTTTCCTTTCACCATCTGTCCTAGGGTTCTGTCCATCGGTTTTTTTGGTGTTTTGTTTTACTTTAAAAATTGTTTTTCCTTAATAATTATTTTTTATTTTAATAACTATTTTATCTTACTTTATCTTATCCTCTCTTTCTTTCTACTTTTTCTCCCTTTTATTCTGAGCCGTGTGGATGAAAGGCTCTTGGTGCTGCAGCCAGGAGTCAGTGCTGTGCCTCTGACGTGGGAGAGCCAACTTCAGGACACTGGTCCACAAGAGACCTCCCAGCTCCACGTACTATCAAACGGCAAAAATCTCCCAGAGATCTCCATCTCAACACCAACACCCAGCTTCACTCAACGACCAGCAAGCTACAGTGCGGGACACCCTATGCCAAAAAACTAGCAACACAGGAACACAACCCCACCCATTAGCAGAGAGGCTGCCTAAAATCGTAAGTCCACAGACACCCCAAAACACACCACCAGACGGGGACCTGCCACCAGAAAGACAAGCTCCAGCCTCATCCACCAGAACACAGGCACCAGTCCCCTCCACCAGGAAGCCTACACAACCCACTGAACCAACCTTAGCCACTGGGGAC